AATTTGAAATAATATTATTAAAATAAAAATAATTTTTGAAATCCAAACATATTTTTTTATTAAATTTTCTTGAAAAATCTACACCATATCATGTTTTATATATGTTCTAGAATAGTTTTTAGTACAAAAAATTTATTTCAAATTTTTCCAATTTTTTTGTTCAACTTTGACGTCATGCTTATTCCAAATAAAAAATTACAGGTTAATGCCTATAAGTAATTCTTATTTCGTAGAACATGACCTTTAAAATAAGCCTAAGATTATTAAAAAGCGTTCATTATTTTAGAAGTTATTGAAATTTTTGTAAAACATTGAAAATTACGATTTTTAAGAATATCTTTTACAAATTTTGGCCAAATGACTTCTGTAAGGTCTTATTCTTTCCAGAATTTTATCTTCTTTCAAAATATAAACCAAAAAAAATTTTAGTTTTCATGAATTTTATGTTAAAAAATTTTTTTCATTCTTTTAAAAATGGGTGGACTGACAATTTCGGACGGTACTGTAAAACTTTCATTCTTTGACAACTTTTTATTAAACTCAATATTTTCAAACTTATAAGCTACTGAATATAGGTCTACAATTACAAGTCCAAAATTTTGAAAATTCATATCTTGAAAATTTCGACAATTAAACAAAAATAAAAAAACAGATATATATCTGTTTTTTTCGATACAGAATAGAAAAAAAATATTTTTGGCCGATTTTAAGAGGTCGACTAAAATCTCACGTGGAATTGCCCATATATTAGGTTTTTTTCGAAAAAAGAATCAGCTACGATTTTCGGAAATAAAAATTTGGAATCTTGGGACGATTCCAGATAAAACTGCGTTAGCACAATTTTGACTCATTTTAGGTTAACCTAAAAGTGCTTGAAGACCACCGTGTTAAGGTTTAAAATAAATATTTAAATAAGATTTTATCTTTATTCTTACTAAAGATACAAAACTTTTTGTAATGTCCTTGCATGGCGTAGGGTGGGCAAATCCTTTTGAGCGGCACTGTATGAATCAGGAATGACATTATTGACTGAACCAGCCGTCCCAGTCGCTACAGATTTTGATGAGGATTTTGAAGAGTCGGAAGATTCTTCTTTTTTCAATTGTTCTTCTGGATTTAGAAACGACTGGTCTCGATAGAAATTGCGACATTTTACAAATAGCTGCCCAATGCAAAAATAAAAAATTATCAGTATATGTAAAGCCTACGAAGGAAATTTCACCTGCAGCAACTTCTATCCACGGAATATCAAATTGATACGGACAGCTTTTACTGCACGGAAAGCCAGTCGAGTCAAGCTCAGTGAAAGATTCACTAATGGCCCTTCTTGAATGGTTATCATTACTTAAGAAAAAATGTTGCATTGTAACACATAATTTGAAATTTGACGGTCCAAGACTATTAAAGGATATTACAAATAACTCTTTATTAAAAGATTTTAGTGAGGTTATTGAAGGATTTGCTGACAGCTTAACCATCATTCGACAAAAAACAAGTAAAAAAAATGTTCCCTTTCCGAGTTGAGTAAGGATTTGGACATTTTATTCAATGGGGCACACAATGCGATTAACGACTGTAGTGTATTATTTAAAATTTTTTAAAAATTAGAAATTTGCAACTCTACAATTCTTGAGCACATGACACCATTCATTGATCAAATTTCACATTGGATGCAACTTGATAATGTAAACAATAGTTTAAAGACTTTACTGCCAATGAAAGATTATTCAAGCAAATCAGTTAGACGTAAACTAGCGGAAAAAGGAATTTCAATGGATTTGTTAACTAAAACGTTTATTGACAAAGGCAAAAAAGAACTGGTAGACTTTATAAGTCAATCGCTTCTAAAACAAAAACAACGACTCCAACAGAAATCGTTAAATAAAATTTCTTAATATTTTGAACAAAATATTAAAAGATAAAAACAACTTTGGAAAAGAGTTTTTTAAAATTTATATAAAAATTCAACAGGCCGAAATATTATTTGCTTATTTATTATCAATATAATATAAAGTGCAAATAATTATTAATAATGTTTTTAAAAAGGAATTTTTGTTTATTTATATATAAATCTAAATAGTGTTGTACCTATATTTTTAGAATTAAAAATTTTTAATATGACCTTGCACTTCTTTCTAACAATTAATTTATTTTTAAACTTTTAATCACAGACAAATGTCGAAAAAATTATTTATTCAGAAATAATGGTCATAGCACATAAAATTTGTTTAAATAATGAAATCAATGTTGCATAATAACTATTGAGAGTTATGAAAATAATTGATATTAGATAAATATTTATTTTCAATTTTCTAAGTTATAGTGTTTAATATTTTATTTATTTAAAAATTTTATTTAACATATTTTAAGAGGTGAGTAATTTGTATTATGAAATCTTGAAATTGTTTAAATTTTGTTACCTTACTTTTCGAACTATAAAAACTTCACTTTGTTTAAAAGAAAAATTCTGTTATTTATGTATAACTAATTGTAATTATTTATTATTAATTATTAATTTTTTGATAATTAAGAAACGAAAATTAAAATAAAATGGCTAATAATTAGATTTTTGAATAATTTAAAATTAAAAGGGCATCAGGAAAAAAATAATGGTTTCGTGATAGACGTCTTATTTAAAAAGAAAAGAATATTTTGATAAATAATTATTTTATTATTATTATTTATTATTATTTTGATAAATAATTATTAAAAAAAATTGTTTAAGTATACGGAAAAAAGGGGTTTTGAACGGTTCAGTATAGATTCAGTGTCAAATCGCGACCACTTCTGAGAATTGGCGCCACCTCCTTGAACACTGACACATAGATCCACTTGTCTGTGTGCTCGCCGTCATATTGTCTCTCACTTTCGACAAAAATGCCAAAAATCCAACTTTTGTAATTTCGTTTTTCAATATTTATTTCAAAAATTACTTGCAAATCTCGAGAATATTCTTTATCATCATGAATTCCCCTAATTATCATGATAAATCAGAACTAAATATCTCTAATTATTTAGGAGTGATACGACACGCGGGAAAACACTTTTAAGGGGCGAGTTTTAACGGATGCCCTTGATTAATTATTTAAATTTTTAATTAGTACAATAAATAATTTTAAATTTCAATTATTATTAATAAATTAATTCGTTTTCAATATTATTCATGACAGATTTGTTTTAAAATTTGGCGCGCATCAATATGATTGGTTCGATTTTCTTCATCGACAACTATCTGTATTTTTTCTGCGACGTTGCCATGTTTCTACTAAAACTTTTGAGAAACTTGTGTTTTTTTTCGTATTTTTATTATTTTCTATTAAACTAGCTTGTGAAGACACACAAAATTAATTATTTATTAAAACTGGCATCTTTAGCTTTTATATATATTTATATTAAAAAAGGTTGAGATTTTTAAACAGTATTTTTTCGTTTGTGAAGATCCAATTTGTTGGTTTCTCTATAAGAGGCCGTGTTAAATTTATAATTTTAAAACTTTTAAACTATGCAGTGAAAAATTCTGAAATTTTTGGTACTTATTTATTATATCAAAATAAAACAAACCTCAAATTTTCAAGAATTTCTAATACCTATCCAGTTCCTCCTTAAAGCAATTTCAAAACTTAACTTACAAAATTAATACATACTTTTTTTTTTTTTTTTTTTTATTAAGAAGAGGGTTGTGGACCTAGGACCTTGCAGGTCAACGCCACTAACGCTTGGGTAATCCCTTTACGTTCCCCATAACCACCCCTATATCCGAAGTCCTTTCCACAACAGGAGGACTTCGGCCAGGTTTCTGGTAGCGATAACGGTCTCCCCCAGAAAGAAGTAGCCCGTAATGTGTTCCCGCTCCTTCACAAGTGCAGGGCAGTGACACAAGATGTATATCGGGGTTTCATATTCCTTTCCACACCTAAGGCACTTCGGGTCATCTAGGATCCCCATTTTGTGCCTATGATAGCGCAGATCACCATGGCCAGTTAATAGCCCCGTTATGATCTTTGCCTCTTTTCTATTTAATTTGCGGAATTCCGCTTTCCTCATATAGGGTTAATACTACTTCCCATGAGTACCTTGGCTTGTCTACAGCCCTTAGTTACCTGCCATTCCCTTTGGTGTTCCGCAGCTATCCACTGTTTAATTTCCAGTGTCAAGCATTTGTTGGAAACACCAATGGGAGGTTCAGGTCCAATAAGTTGTTTTCTAGCCCCTTCTTTGGCTAGCTCATCCGCCCTATCGTTTCCCGCGAATCCACTGTGACCAGGGATCCACAGGAGGGTAACGCGGTTCGTTTCAGCTAGTTTGTTAAGTGATTCATCACAATCACCGACCAGCCGTGATGTTGATACGTATCGTTTCTCTCTCAATTTCAATTCTGTTTGTGCTGTTTTTAGCTCAACTCTACCCCACCAGACCACACAAGCATAGGTCAGCCTAGGGAGCAGAATTGCTTCATAGATCCACAATAGTGTATCCGGTTTGAGACCCCAGCTACCACCAATGGCCCTTCTACATTGCCAAAGAGCAGCTGTAAGTTTCTTACATTTTTCCTCTAAATGCTTTTTCCAGAGCAGTTTGCTATCCAGGATTACTCCTAGATATTTTGCCTGCTCTGTGTATTTGATCTCTTTTCCGGACAGCGTAAGTGAGCACGAGGCTTTCCACTTGTACCGTCTGGTAAAAATAACCGCTTCCGTTTTCCCCGGATTTACAGATAAACCCACCTTCTCACACCATTTATCTACCAGGTTTAACGCTTTTTGGGCCACTTCGAGTATAACTTCAAGGTGGGGACCGCGAACGATTAACAAAATGTCATCCGCATAACCAATTACATGGTATCCTGCTTCGGTCAGAATTCTCAGTAGTTCATCCACTACCAAGGACCAGAGCAAGGGTGAAAGAACACCTCCTTGGGGGCATCCAGAGTTGACTGTCCCTTTCAGGACTGAGTCTCCTTTAGTTGATAAGAGGTTCCTGTTTTTTAACATATGACAGGTTCAATCAACCACTCCTGTAGGAATATTAAAAGCTGTCATAGCTCTTTTTATGGATTCCGGAGAGGCCTGACTAAAAGCTCCTTCTATGTCCATAAAAACACCCACAGCAAAGCCCTGATTCTGCAGTTGCCCATCAATTAGGTCTACTGCTCTAGCCAGAGCTGTTTCCGTAGAGCATCCCGCTCTATACGCATATTGATCCTTTTGTAGCGGGAACCGCTCCAAAATCTCACTGCGAATATATCTATCCACCAACCTTTCAACTAATTTTAGGATAAAGGATGTAAGGCTAATAGGACGGAAATCCTTCGGTGAGGTATAACCGTTCTTGCCCGCTTTAGGTATGAATACAACTTTTGTACCCCTCTACGCTACTGGGACATATCCCAGAGTCAGACTCGCCCTAGCAAGTCTTACCAATGGTCCAACAGCCTCATCTATCGCTCTTTGCAAGAGGACAGGGTAGACGCCATCAGGACCCGGAGACTTGTAAGGGCTGAAAGATTCCGTGGCCCATCTGATCCTCTCGGCAGTCACAATCCTGTTAGCCAACTGCCTCCGAGACCGGTAATCAGCCTGCGGAAGGTTTGTTGGCGGCTCAGGATCGGATCCGCCCTCCCCAGACCTCGAAAAGCCCGGGAAGTGTTCCTGGACCAGGCAAGCCAAGGTTCCATCGTCCGACTCAGAGAAATTCCCGTCCGGCAACATTAAAGTGCCCAGAATTGCATCAGGGTTCTTAGCGAGCAGCTTATCCAATCTGGCCGCCTCTTTCCCTTTTTCGATGCTAGAGCAGAAAGCATTCCAACTGTCTTGTTTTGCTTTCCTTACTTCATACCTATATTCGTCTCTCATTTTCGTAAAATCAGACCAACCATTAGTCGTGCGCCTTTTCTTGGCACGCTTAAAGAGTTTCCTGGTTTCTCTCCTGAGATGTTCTAATCTCTCGTTCCACCAGCACACCTCTTTTCCCGAGAATACTTTTGTCGGTTTGCAGCTACTTTCATAAGCTGCCTTAATAGCCTTTGTAAAATCATTGGCCGCCTCATCCAGGGTCTGATAATCTCTTATCTTACCCGGTAAACCAGAAAGTGTCCTTCGAAGTTCTGAGATATAACTAGCCCAATTCGTCCTTCTGGGATTACGAATCCACTTAGTTTCGGATCGGACCGCAGACTACACATCGAAGACTATCTGTGAATGATCAGAAAGAGAAGGTTCATTAGAAACTTGCCATCTTCTTACCTTATTTCCAATGCTTTTGGAGCAGAGAGTGATATCAATCACTTCCTGCCTAATCGCATTGCTAAAAGTCGGGGTCGAACCCGTGTTGAGAATATCTAGATTCGTTCCGATTAGATATTCCAGTAGCTCCTGTCCTCTCTGGTTGTCCTTTGAGCTCCCCCACACCGTATGTTGTGAGTTTGCATCGCAGCCCAGCAGCAGAGGAAGTCCCTTTTCCATACAGTAGTCCACCAACCTACGAACTTCAATTGGCGGATTATTTTTATTATCATATGGAAAATATGCCGATCCTACGACCGTCTTACCTATACCCTCCAGGTTAGTTACCACCACCATTAGGTCCCCTGAACACAGATCCAATAGTGGAGTTGCGTTGACACCCTTAGTAAGAATGCACGCTCTGGGTTTGGCAGCTCTGCAGTCCCTGTAACAAACTAGACCAACCCCACCAAGCCCCCTAATGACACCTCTTACTAACCATGGTTCTTGGATTAGTGAGATGCCTGTGTGCAACTTAGCCATGCTCCTCGTCAGTACTGATGAGGCGCCTTTGCTATGATGCAAGTTAATCTGAATAGCGGAGAGTTTGCAAACAGTGAATTATGTTTGCTCTTCTCCCTCCTCTACATTGCTTGTGCCGTCACGATCAGGGACAGTTACCTTAAAGGTTATCCGCCCGAAGTGATAGTGAGGCTTAAATTCGAGGGCCTCTATAGCCCTCGCCTGACTTTCAGGGACTTGAGCGACAAGAAGAAAACTCTTGTCCCTCCTGTTCGCCACCTGAGACCCATCAACATTCAGCAAACGCCAAGTCGATGTCTTCAACGTGGGGTTGAAAGCCTCCAAATGTCGCAAGACCGTCCGCGCGTCCGCCGTTTCTCCCGGGAACCACGCAGTAGCCTTTACCATTCTTTGGAGCATCTCAACCCCACCAATTTTCAACCTCGCTCCCTTCCAGGGCTCATGGTCGGCCACACATTTTGTCAGCCATTCCACAGCCTCCGGGTTGGAAGCGATGAAGATAAAGACTCCTCCTCTGCAGAAGGAAGTCTCAAAACGCGGCCACCTTTCGACCGGCTCCTCACAGGTCAGCGTCACAACGGTCTTCCTAAGAAGTCCAAACTGCTCATCAGTGAGCGCCACATCTGGGTAGCCCTCGCTATAGACCACCATCGTTAGAGGATTTGTCCTTTGTGCCATTGTTAGCCCAACATTGTACCCCTCTCTCCTGGTACTCTGTTGGACCGACTTTGGCCTTTTTACACCCTCTTTTTTTTCCAGAGGTGATGCATCCTGGCCACTCTTTTTCTTCGACCCAGTAGCAACACCCGAGGAAACCGAGTTGTTTACACCGGCTGCTAGCCGTTCTTTCCTTAGCCGTTTCTTTTCAGAACCGGTAAGGCGCTTTCTTCTGATTGGGGCCATTTGCACAGCCTCCGAATCTCCTCCCCCACCTAAGACCACATTACCATCAGATCCCGAAGAACCCGAAGGAGCAGCCAAAGAGGAGGGGGGAGACTGACCCACGACTTCAGGATTCGAGACCGTCACATCCACAACTTCCGAGGAGGTTGTAGACGCAGCCAACGAGACCCCTTTGTCACCCAAATTTAAATTGGTGAATTGATTCTCCATTTGAAGACCCACGAGTAGCAAGGGAAAAGAAAGTCCACTCCTGCAGAGCCCCGCTTGCAGGAGTAAGGCTAATACTACCGGAAGGTCGCCCGGTGTTCCGGAGCCGCCGTTTAAGACACCTCCGTTCACATCACGCCAAGACCAGCCGCCCGCTCGCCTGCCGGAACCCCAGCCGGATCGCTCCCCCGAGCTTTACGGGATCACTCACCGACCAGTACAATCCCGAGAGACAGACAGGCGGCCGGCCCGTCGTGAGCGACAGATTTGGTAACCCTAGTGCCATTCATCCATCGACACGGCAGAAACATCTTGGATTGGGGGACCGTTTCTTAGTTGGGGCCCCGCAGGCAGTACACCCCTCCGCTTCCAGTGGTGATCATTTCTGAACGCCCAAAGGTTGCTTCCTCACCATTCTTACCCTCTACTCCATGGAGCTGGTCTATTGGGCGGTCCCTCCCTTATGAGGAGCAGGCCGCCGCAAACGACCAACGAGGGAAAGAACGGGGTCCAGAGGTACTCCCCGATTAGGCCTTTAAGCCACCCCACCAGCTGCAAGGTCCTACGATCCCTAGGGGTAGTAATACATACTTACTAAAATAAAATAATAATAATACAAAATGTAACAGTTGTTAAATCTAGTGAAGAAAAATAAATAAAAACTCTTGAGCAATTATTATCAGAAATATATTTTAATTATTTAAAGTATTTTAATATAACAATTTATTACATTAATTTAAATAACAATTTATCACATTGTCAATCACAATTTTGGTAATAAATTATTTATTAATAAATAATAAATTATAGTGGTAATAAATAATATAATATATTTACGAAATATAATATATTTACGAAAGTCATTTCGTTTTAGTTTCTGATCGGTCCCTGGCATTAAATTTTAATAACATTTAAATCATTATTCTAGGGAACAGGAGGATTTTCAACAGTAGTTCTTTTTTTCCGTTCATCACCCCAATCTTTTACATTCGGAAAGACTGTTTTTAATTCGTCCAGGAAGAATCTTTCACTCACCGGCATAAAAGTTATGGGCTCTTTATGAGTTGTAGATAGTGGACCTGAAAACAATTTTTATTATATAAATTTAATATATTTTTTAAAGTAGTTTCATGGTTTAATCTACAGCTTCAAAAGTAATTATTATTATTAAAATATTCATTAAACGATATTCATACCTCTTATTAAACCAGACATTGCAGTGTTCTTAAAAGTATATTTGCCAGTAACTGTTTTTGATGAGACAAATTTTAATGCCAAATCTTCTGACATGTATTTTTTTTATATATTAGTTATTGTTCTTCTGGTTATCAAAAGAGGATCGTTAAATCGATCAAGTAAAGCTTTCTGAAATGATACGAATTTTATAATAAGAAAAATATTTACAATTGTTATATACGTTATAATTTCTCAAATTGCAAGATATTTTTAAGAATTTCATATTTGCAGGTTTCGTACTCATTAATTAATTTAATTACAATTTTTGAAAAACCTATTTTTTATAATTTCTAAATTAAATTATTCAAAACTAGAATGATATTTGTTATATAAATATCATTCTAGTTTTGGATAATTTAATTTAGAAATTATAAAAAATAAATTTTTCAAAAATTGTAATTAAATTAATTAACGAGTACGAAACCTGCAAATATGAAATTCTAAAAAAATTACATTTAAATTATTAAAAATATTTATTCTTGTGGCAAAATAAAGAACAATATTTTTAATAATTTAAATGTAAAACCTTTGAAAATTCAATTATTTTAAGAAATTACAAATACAATTTTTCTGAAATTCATTTTATTTTAAAAATTTGTTTAACCCTTAAACCGCACACTGGGTGTGCGACACCCGGGGACTTTTAAGTGTGTTCTTCAAGCTGGAATAGGATATTATCTTTTGGAAAAATTATCTTATATAGCTCAGTACATCTATTTTGAAGGAAAATAGGTTTCATAATGATTTATTTAATTTTAATAATTAAAAAAGAGTTTTTTAAAACTACTGAAATTACCTTAAACCAAAAAGTGGGTGTCAAACAAGTAGAAATTTTTCGCCGACAACTTCATAAAGTCATCAAATACACAAAGACACTTGGGAGACTAATGTCCCTCACGGAACATAAAGTTAAGTACAAAATGTATCGCCCAATAACGACACATGTTCAATTTTTACGAATTTAACCGAAATATTAGAGTAAAAAGCTAGAATATGGGTGTCGCACACCCAGGGTGCGGTTTAAGGGTTAAATAAAATAATTAAAAATTTTAATAATTTGCGATAATTTGTTAGAAAAATAATAAATCACAACAAAAACATCTTTGATGCAAAAAGTTCCGCCAAGTAAAAGGTTTTGTGACTGTCCAAACAATTAGTGAAATAAAAGTATACCAAGTAAAATTTATAATTAAAATTTTAATAATGATTGATTTTAAATATTTTCTCTACTACACAACTCGAAGTACATATTGCAGTTGAAAAAGCAACCCGGGCTTAGCTGTTGTTATTGTACATTGCGGCTTAATTACATTTCCGAATTAAGTCAATGTTCTTTATTGCATTTTGAATTGTAACAAATAAAATTTAACTTCATAATTAACACTTACAAAAACGAAATCTAATTACTCGTCATGATAAAAAATTTCTATTTCAGCAATTTAAAAATCTTGGCGTCAATAATGCTTCTAACTTAATGAAAGTATTGACGCCAAGATTTTTTAATTGCTGAAATAGAAATTTTTTATTATGACGAGTAATTAGATTTCGTTTTTTGTAAATGTTAATTATGAAGTTAAATTTTATTTGTTACAATTCCAAATGCAATAAAGAACATTGACTTAATTCGGAAATGTAATTAAGCCGCAATGTACAATAACAACAGCTAAGCCCGGGTTGTTTTTTTCAACTGCAATATGTACTTCGAGTTGTGTAGTAGAGAAAATATTTAAAATCAATCATAATTTAAATTTTAATTATAAATTTTACTTGGTAAACTTTTATTTCACTAATTGTTTGGACAGTCACAAAATCTTTTACTTGGCGGAACTTTTTGCATCAAAGATGTTTTTGTTGGGATTTTAAAACTTTTTGCGTCATCTTAACTTTTTAATAAATGAAATAATTAATTGTAAAAATATTGTGGTCTCTAAACTATTAATTTAAAATAAAATACAATTAAGTTTTAAATAATAATTTATTTAAGATATGATTCTTTACATAAAGTTTTACATAATTTTTAGAATTTTTATTCTATACACTCTAAAAATAACATAAAAACAAAAAAGTTTTTAAAATAAATTTCAAGCTTTCAATCCATAATAATATTTCAAAATATTTTACAAATCTGTTTAGAAGTTTACTCTCTAAATCTGAATAAATGAATTTTTACTTATTTTAAGTGAATATTCACTTATTCCATGTTTCAAAACTCTTCCACGTAGAATAAGTGAATATTCACACATAAAATAAGTGAATTATATTCACTTATAAAATAAGTACATACACACTTATGAATACGTGAATATTCAATTATGAAATAAGTGAATACTCACACATTAAGAAGTGAATTATATTAACTTATTATATAAGTTAAAATATATTTTTAATGAATGTAAATAAATAATCGGGATTAATATTATATAAAAAAAATATTTATTTTTTTTCACATTTTTTAAGCTAAATCCCCAAACGGTCACCAATCCTAATATTAACCGCACGCAATGTTGCTTAACTTTGATAATCAACGAGAAACACCACAATGCCACTTAATATGTTGCCTTATACTCATAGGAAATTATTGGGTGCTACTTATAAAGAGTTAGTTTATTGTGTTATACTTTAACGTTTTGTTCAAGATTTCTCTTATTATATATTATATAAATACTAAGCAAATAAAAAGTTAGTTATTAGATTACTGTTAATATAATATTTAACTGAATATTTTTTAAAAAATTTATTAAATTTTAAATAAGAATTTTTATAATTAAATAAAATAAATTTTTTTAAAATATTAACTGAAATGATAAAAATATTGTTTCTAAACATTTAAAAGTATAAATAATTGAAATGTAATGGGCAGGTGGATTTCTTTTTAAATAAATATTTCACTTATACATAAGTGCGGATTTCACTTATTAATAAGTGAAAACAAGTTCACACATAAAAAAGTGAATTTTCACTTATGTATAAGTAGATTCTACTTATTAATAAGTGAGAAAAACGTTTACACATGAAAAAAGTGAAAATTTCACTTATTCAGATTTAGAGAGTAGTCTCTGCGTTTGTCTAAATGTTTAAAAATTCAATTTTTTTGAGAAAAATGAAAATTATTCAAAAAATACGAAGTGAATTGAAATTTCCTGCAATATATATAGAGATTTCAACCCAATCAATAACATTCTAGAATATTTTACATATCCGTTTAGAAGTTTCCTCTCTGCGTTTGTCTAAATGTCAAAAAATTCAATTTTTTTGAGAAAAATCAAAATTTTTCAAAAAATTTCAAGTGTATTAAAATTTCCTGAAATGTATATCGAGATTTTAACCTAATTAATAATATTCTAGAATATTTCACATAACCGTTTAGAAGTTTAATCTCTGCGTTTGTCTAAATGTCAAAAAATTCAATTTTTTTGAGAAAAATCAAAATTTTTCAAAAAATACAAAGTGAATTAAAATTTTCTGCAATATATATCGAGATTTCAACCCAATCAATAACATTCTAGAATATTTTACATATCCGTTTAGATGTTTCCTCTCTGCGTTTGTCTAAATGTCAAAAAATTCAATTTTTTTGAGAAAAATCAAAATTTTTAAAAAAATTTAAAGTGTATTAAAATTTCCTGAAATGTATATCGAGATTTTAACCTGATTAATAATATTGTAGAATATTTCAGAAATCCATTTAGGAGTCTATGCTCCACGTTTGTCTAAATCTCAAAAAATCGCTCTTTTTCCGGTTTTCCTAGCCTAAATTCTATAAAACTATATAAAATATTGAATAAACTTAAAATAATTCTTTCTATTTTGATTCTTTATCTAACGAAAAAAGAATGAGCCAAATCGGTTAAGATTTACTCAATTTATTCAATTTTATCGAAAAACAGCCGATATTTCGAGAATATATATTCGCGGTTTTTGATATTTACTTGGTGGCCATTCTCTACCGCGAATCTTGATTATTAATATTTTGAAATAAATATTTAAATATTATTATATGTTTCTGGTCATGAAAATTGTCAAAAATTTCAGTTAAAAAACAATTTGTAAAACTATTTTTAGAAATCGAGGAAAATTTGAATTGATTTAAATTTGATAAGTTTAGATTAATTTGGATTAAGTAAAGTTAAATTTAGTAACAAAATTTTGAAATATTAATGAAACAATAAGTGGTTCCTGAATTCATGATTGTTCTAAAGAAAATGAATATTAATTTTTTTTCTTCATACCTCTGTCGAAAGTACGTACTTCCCGCTGTGATTTCGCAGCAGAAAGTCAAAAATTTGTGCTTTGGTTGATTTTCACACACAACCTCACTACAGCGAGAGTAAAAGAATTCTCTGTCGGTAAAAACACCTCTGTCGGTAAATAAGAAAATTTCGAGTTCCATAACAAATTAAAGAGTAATTGTTATTGCAATATAAAATGAGAAAAAAATTATCAAGAATACTTTTTATACTTTATAAATTTATTATCCACATCTCTCAATATTAAAATGAACGAAATCTTTTGCTGATATAATTATTTTCAAAAATTATTTTATTATACATTAGAAACTAAAATAAAATAAATAAAAATTTTATAATTTCTTTTTTAATACGTACCAAAATGTTATAATAAAATTTTAATAATTTGAAGAAATAATAAAATTTTGTTCATTAGAACGTTTAAGATTTCAGAAACATAAAATTAATTTTGTACCAACAGAAAAATTTTTTTGAAGATATAATATTAATTTATCTTCCACATTTTTTTCGTGCTTGCCCGCCCCCGACCAGAAACACTCGCTTCGCTCGTGCATCAAATGTCGGGTCAGGCAAATGTTGTTTGCAACAGAGAGACAGAGAAAAAACCAGAGCTTTACGAGTGTCCGCTAGAGGCGTTGAAGCGAAGAGCAAAAGTAAATAAAGATGGCCGTCTGTCAAATGAAACACAATTGCAATTTTCTTAAAAAAAAATTAACAAGCGTACTTTTGACCGTATATATAAAGAAAAATAGTATACATTACACGGGCAGAAATTCGAAAGCCCTAAACTACGCAATGATCATTTCGCGCAGTGAGGGAATTTCGAACTTTCTGCCCTTATAATGTAATATACTATATTTCAACTATTAGCGGTTTTAGAGTAGCAAAAATTCGAAAAAAAGAAATGAGCAGTTTTTAATGCCACAAAGTTAGTAAAAAGTAGGATTTAGTAAACAGTATGACACCTGCATTCAGTGGTTAGTCTTTAATTTATGAAAAAAAATTGTACTTCTAATTCTTTCTGTGCTTACGAAAGCATTCCGAAACTCCGCATTTGCCAATTTGTAATCAAATTGTTGGAACTCGTCATAACTTTGAAAAGGGATTTGCAAATTATTTTCAGCAATAAAGTCATTAAGCTAAGAATTTGAATCAGCAGCTTGAAATTTATTCAATGTCAAACATTGATTTTCTAAAATTTCCTGAAGCATTGAATTTGACTTATTGGACAAAAGTAAAACTTGATCTAGAATAATCAATTTAAAAAGTATCAGGGATCAAATTATCTATTTTATGTAATAGTATGTAAAAAAGGAGATTTTAATTTTTTGAAAATTTCCTTAAAAACTAAGTAAAAATTAATATTAAAAATCGATGATTTACAAAGTATCATTTTAGGATCATAAAAATTGATATTTCTAGAATTTACTCTGTAATAATAATTTTTTATAACAAATTTGCTATTAAAAATTGCTATTCCCAGAGTCAATTTTATAAATAGTACAAGTTGGCAGAAACTCCAAACAGTTTCTGTTTTACTTTGTAAGAAAAAAAGTTATTCTATACCTATTTGTTGCCTTGTATAAAGAAATTTTTATATTTAAAAATTTACAAAAAATAATATAAATAGTATATTACATTATAAGGGCATAAAGTTCGCCATTTTTCTTTATTTTATACGGTCAAAAGTACGCTTATTAATACATTTATTAAAAACATTGCAATTTTACATCCTAAAATTGCACAGCCATGTTTTATTTTGAGCCTTTAGATGTGTCTACTATATCGACCTTTGTAATAGATTCCTATAAAAAAAGTCGGTAATTGACCGACTGATGGTAATGTAGATTTCTAACTCACTATGTGCGCCAGTGTTCTAGGATACCGACTGCAAGACCTATGAGAACTTTCAAGTTGTCGCGGCAGCCGGCGCTTACTATACGATGTGATGAGGTAGGAGTGGTGTTGCGCGCGACTGAGGAGAGTTGCGCGCGACTATGGAGTAGTGGGGCTCGTCGTAGTGGGGTGTCAGGTATGGTGGGGACCAGTGTATAAGTTCGAGAGCGCGAGCCACAATCATCAGTAGCATCTTTTCAGATGCAACTAACAGTTTACAGAGTACCTCCAGATATATTTTCAGAGTTTGTTTTCTTTGTTTCAGTTGTGCTTTTTTGATTTGTTTCAGAATTTTTTTTATTTGTTTCAGGATTTTTTTTTGATTTGTTTTAGAATTTTTTTTTTATTTGTTTCAGGTTTTTTTTAAAATTTGTTTCAGAATTTTTTTTAGTTTTGTTTCAGGATTTTTTTTTGATTTGTTTCAGGAATTTTTTTTTGATTTGTTTCAGGATTTTTTTTGTTTGATTTGTTTCAGGATTTTGTTTTTAAATTTTTGTTTCAGAGTTTTTGATTTGTTTCAGAAATTAGATTTGTTTCAGGAATTTTTTAGACTTAACTTCTAAGATGCCAAAGATTAAATCACCGAAAAAATCGCGATCAAAAATTAAGATTGACGAGTACAATGAAGTTTGTCAAGAAAGTGACAACTTTATTAAAATCGCGGAAAATCAGCTCATTACCACAATGTCCATGTCTGGTGATGAAAAATGCATTACAGCATTTGAATGGCAAAACAAGTGTCAGAAGTATAAAAATATATTTAGAAATTTTTTAAAAAAGTCTGACTTTACAACCTCTCAAAAATCTAGGTGTTTGAATTTGATCCAGAAATTGGAATACTTGTTTTGCCACTTTGATGCAATAATGAAACGTGGTGCGGGTGTACAAATGACAAACGAAAGAATGAAATGGGTTAATTTCGATGAAGCATTTGAAAGTCGATTGCAAACTAGTGGGATAATGAATATAGATTACAAAGATATTAATGAGTTCCTTGATGATGCCTGTGCTTTATTTAAATTTAATATTGAAAAATCTTTAAACAAGTATGGTCCGTTAAAAGTATATATCGTGTTGGGGGCGAAATTTAAGAAAGATTTAATGAATGGGAAAGAGGATCAATCAGAATCAAAAACTTTTATCGCGAAAACAAGTGAAATTTTGTTGACAACCCAGTTAGATGAGTAGTACAATGTTAATGTCAAACAACCAACTTTAAAAAGGATTGAAGAATTCCAAGAGAAAGACTCTAATTGGAAACTTGATTCCATTCAAAGGTTGAAGGTTAACATTAACACGTACAATCCCATGCGTGCAGGTTCTTATATTGATTTACCCCTTGCTATAAAAAGGAAACAAGCTTGTGTCAACGTTCAGAACACAGATAATAAATGTTTTCAATGGTCAATACTATCAGCTTTGTATGAACCAACAAGGGATTCAAAACGCGTTTCAAAGTACATCCAATATGAGAATGAACTAAATTTCACAGGAATTGAGTTCCCTGTTTCTCTCAAAGATATTTCAAAATTTGAGGCTCTAAATAATATCTCAATCAACGTGTACGGACTTTCAAGGAAAAATAAGAATTTTAATGTCTACCCATTACATCTTACCTCGCAGAAAAAGGTTTGCCACTTAAACCTTTTGCGAATTGAAGACCATTACATAGATGAGGATGATAATGATGATGATGATGAATTACCTATCATCTCTTTCAACTACCACTATGTCTGGATAAAAGACTTATCTAGACTTGTTGGCTCACAATTGTCGAAGAAAAAAAATAAAAAGTACATCTGTGACCGTTGTCTTCATTACTTTGGAGATGAATTAAAACTCACAGAACATGAAGAAACATGCAGAACAATGAATGATACGAGAATTAGGCTACCAAAACAAGGTAAAAATTCTGTTGAATTCAAAAATTTTCAAAACAAGGAACGTGTACCTTTCATTATTTATGCTGACTGTGAGAGCCTTTTGATTCCTGCTGAAAAACCACAAGAGCCAAGCAATACCGAGGTCTATCAAAATCACAAATTGCTTAGTATTGGATACTATTTGAAGTGTGGTTTTAATGACTCGTTGTCTTCATACAAAGCATCTCCAAAAGATGAAGAAAATCCCGCCCTATGGTTTTCTAAAGAGTTGAAAAACTTGCAAGAAAATCTAGAGCCTATATTTAAAAATTTTAAGCCAATGCAACCACTAACTCTAGAACAATTTACAGATTTTAGAAATGACAATACGTGTCATATTTGTAATAAGAAAATCGCGAATGGGGATGTAAAAGTAAGAGATCATAATCATCTAACTGGGGAATATCGGGGCGCCGCGCATCAAGATTGTAATGTAAACTACCACGAATCACCGACCATACCTGTTGTTTTTCACAACCTCAGTGGTTATGACGCGCACTTCATTATTGAAAGTATTGCTACTGAATTTGAAGGAAAAGTTGATCTGCTTCCAATAAACAAAGAAAAGTATATCAGCTTTACTAAAAATATTAAAGGTAGTATTATCAAATTTCGATTTATTGATTCTTTTAAATTTATGGCGTCATCATTGGACAAATTAGCTTTCTATCTCGACGAATACAAAATTGTTAATTCAATTTTTTCTAGTTATAGCGACGACAAAATTCAATTGTTGACGCGAAAAAGAGTTTTTCCTTATGAGTATATAGATTCAAGAGAAAAACTCGATGAAAGTCAGTTGCCTCCAAAGGAAAAATTCTATAGCACTTTAAACGACTCAAATGTTTCTGACGAAGATTATACACATGCGCAGAAAGTGTGGAATTAATTCAATTGTCAAAATCTCGGTGATTACGTTTATTTGTATATGCAAACTGATGTTTTGTTACTTGCGGATATATTCGAGAATTTTAGGAATCAATGTTTACTTGCTTATGGCCTCGATCCAGCGCATTATTATACGACACCCGCACCCGGACTAACTTGGGATGAAATGTTGAAGCATACGAAAGTAAGTCTCGAACTCCTCACAGATATCGACATGGTGATGTTTATTGAGACGTCTTACATCGTATACTTTGACGCAAATAACCTGTATGGTTGGGCAATGGTGCAATCGCTTCCTTATGGTGGCTTCGAGTGGGTAGAAAATATTGACGATAGTTTTGATTTTAACGCTATAGATGATGATGCGCCAAATGGATATATTTTGGAAGTCGACTTGGATTACCCGGATGAATTGCACAAAAAACATAGCGATTTTCCGTTTTGCCCCGAACACTCGAAGCCACCAGGATCCAAGGAGGAAAAGCTCCTAACTACCCTCCTACCTAAACGGAAGCACGTTCTCCATTACCGTGCTTTAAAGCAAGCCATTGCCAACGGTCTGGTGTTAGTTCATATTCATCGCGTTTTGAAGTTTAAACAAGCTATGTGGCTCAAAAGTTATATCGATTTTAACACTAGAAAAAGAACTAATGCCAATAATGAGTTTGAGAAAAATTTATTCAAACTAATGAACAACGCGGTATACGGAAAAACAATGGAGAACGTGCGAAAACACGTTGATGTTAAACTCGTGACAAAGTGGGAGGGTAGGTATGGAGCTGAAGCTTTAATCGCGAAACCTAATTTCCACAGCAGGGCTATCTTTAACGAAAACTTGGTTGCCGTAGAACTGAAAAAAGTAGAGGTTTTGATGAACAAACCACTCTATGTTGGTTTGACAGTATTGGATGTATCAAAAACTTTAATCTATGACTTTCACTACGATTATATGTTGCAAAAGTATGATTTTGAGAAATGTAAGCTTCTGTACACCGACACCGATAGCCTTGTTTATGAAATTAAATGTTCAGACATTTATGCCGACATGAAAGAAGATATTCACAAATTTGATACTTCAGATTATCCTGTAAACAACGTGTACAATATTCCGCAAGCCAACAAGAAGATTTTAGGTTTGATGAAAGATGAGTGCAGTGGTAAAATTGTAACAGAATTTGTTGGCTTGCGGAGCAAAATGTACAGCATCCGCGTTGAGAATAAGGATTTCATAAAAAAGGCGAAAGGTGTAAAAGCTGGAGTTGTTAAAAAAGACATTAATTTTGATGATTATGTGTATTGCCTTCAAAATGTAAAAATTCAATCTAGAACGCAGTACTCAATCAGGTCCAATTTGCACAAAGTGCAAACTTTAAAACAAACAAAAGTTGCACTCAGTCCGTATGATGACAAAAGGTTTTTGTTAAAAAATAATACTGACACCCTTGCATGGGGACATTGTAAAATTGCTGAAATTATGGAAGATGATGATGAGGTATTGTAAAAAAATTGTTGGGAGAGAGAATTTGTTATTTTAATAAATAAAACCTGTTATATATTTTATTTTATGTCTTCTTCTTTATTCAATAAAACCTTAATCTAGTTACATTATTTTAACTTATTTTAACGTTATTTTAACATGTTTTAAAATTATTTTAACATTACTTTAACTTATTTTAACTTTACTTCAACATTACTTTAACTTTGCTTTAACGTTAATTCAACTTTATTTAAACATTAGTTTAACTATATTACATGTCAGATTTTTTAATCCAACTATTGTGAGACTTATCAAATCCAATCCATTTCACGTAGACATCATTACCACGAGTCTTGAGAACTTTCTCTACTTGTTAAACATCTGGATGTTTGACTTTCAGCAGTTCTTCCTCATAGAAACCACCTTCGATGGGCTGATTTTGGTAATCTAAAAGTTTGTATGTTACTTTTTTTGTCGATTTAACTTTATCCACAGTGAATATTTCCGTTGTCCAGTTGGGAGTATATCCTTTTTCAAAGATATTTTTAAACTTGCTAACCCGAACTCTATCTCCAACTTTAAATTTTGATCTTCTGAGCGGAATTTTTCGTAGTTTACGGATACGTCTCAGCAGTTCTCTTGTGTCTTCTACGGTAACATCTTTGGGTTTCATACCAATAGTACGATGCTTTTTATTATTGTACTTTGATATGAGCGTAGGTAAAAGATTTATCCATTTGTAATTGCCTTGTAAGCTGAATTCCGGCCACATCATATTTTTCAGAGTGCGATTAAATCTTTCAACAATTGATGCTTTCAAGTTACTAAAAGTTGAATAGAGATTAATGTTAAATTCTTGCATTAAACTCTTGAATTCAGAATTGTAAAATTCTTTGCCTCTATCAGTGTGCAGATTTTTTGGAATTCTGCCTTGTTTTAGAATAGTTTTCATGGCTAGAGAAATATCCTTTCCATTCTTACTCTTTACAGCTACAGCCCAGGCATATTTGGAAAATATGTCTATAACTGTGAGCATGTATTTGAAACCTTTATTAGAATAAGAATAGGGTATCATTTCAACCAAATCTGCTTGCCAGGTTTCGTCGATGCCACGCATTTGAACTTTTCGACGAGGATAATTTTTTCTAGCCTGTCTATGCAACTCTTTAACAACAGTTAACTTTTCATCGTCCATTTTCAAGGTTTGTTAAACGTGAATCCAATTTAGCAATATATTTAGCGTTTTGAAGAGGTAATTCGTGTTGTAAATCAGTTTCAATCTGCTTAAGTTTTTCGTTAATTCTTTCCTCGATAGATTGTATAAGAATATTCAAGTCATCAATAGCTGATCTTGAAGATGATGTAACTGCAAAGACAGTTTTTATTTCGTTTTTAACAATTTGTTTTACTTGTCTTAGATTTATTGCGTCGTGTTGCTCTTCAGCGTCTTGCACGTTGCAAAGTCTTTTGTTATCAATATCGTATTGTCCACTTGAAGTAATTTTAAAACCAATTCCAGAAGGTCCAGGTTGTCCACGACTTGCAGTAGGTCGTGACAAAGGATGTCCAAACACATCAATGCTCATTTTAATACTAAGCTTTATTTGCTTGTACTCTTCTAATATATAATGCGAGCTTCACGTAGTTCTTCAATAATTGACATAATTTCATTATTGTGGCTCGGATTTCCAGCTTGCTGCGATGCTACTAGCAGACGTAATCGGTCAACTAGTTCATTGGGATCATCCCAATAAATGTAGTCTGGGTTAAATTGTTTCTTTGCAATCATAAATTGAGGTAATTTATTTCCAAGCTTCTTCTTCTTCTTCTTCTTACTCTTTATAACACCACTACCCTTTTTTGGTGTACTCTTAAAAAGTTTTGCAATGATATCAATGCATTTAGAACTCCTGTTTATGTTGACAGGTTCACTGGAACTATAATTTTTTCGGTGTGCATTTGTAGTTACAAGAATTTCTTTTTAATTTTCCAAATCATCTGAACTTATTAACGCATGATTAGGTTCTTGTCTAAATAAAAGTTCAAGCAATCCAGCAGTTTTTAAATATTTTTTCTTTCCAGCAAGTTGAATATGTGAACCTTCTAAATCAACTGGTGTATCACCAATTATAAAAGAACCATTAGGAAGCTTACGTACTCCATAAACCATGTCTAAATATTTTTTTCTGTTTTTATTCAATAATTGAATAAATTTATTTGTCAAATTTCCATAATTAAGTTCTTCGTCTTCAAAGTTGTTGTTGCTTTTATCAAGTAGAGTGTCATTAAGTAGTGTTTTATCAAATTCCTCCTCCTCATCAACAGCAGTTGAGAAAGAAAAATCATTTTCCTCCTTTTTAACTTTTTCTTTTTTAATATTTTTGAAAGGTATATCAGTTACTTTAACCAACTTTTCCAGAGGTGCTACTATTGGTTGAAGAGTTTCTTTTAATACTGTTTCTGCAGCCTCTTTACCCATTTTGAGTAAACGATGTTTTCGCCTAATAGCATCACTTGCTTTTGCTATTTGACGAAGTGTTTCTTGCTCTTTTCGATACATGTTTTCTTTGTAACAAGATAAACTATACTAATTAAAAATTCAGTAAACCTGTAGTATTTATAGTGTAATAAAACAATCAAATCCTCTTCTATATCTTCCCTCATTAAAATTACGGTCTTTGTCAATAACAACAAAACCATATTTATCAGATTTCCAACATTCTGAACATAAATCGCGGAATTGAGTATAACTCATATCTGTATTAACATGATCTTCATATACATGTTTTAGATTCTTTTCATCTTGTCTAAATAAAACCAATAAATTAACATTATCTCGAACTAGATGTTTAGGAATACGAGCATACGTTTGGCATAAATAGAAACTGTCAACGTTTACATGTCTACCCATACAAAAGAAAGCTCTAACATTATCTTGCTTTTCACAAGCAATGTCATCAAAAACAAAAATTGAATTTGCTTTAGCATCTTTTGGAGATACTACTTCTTCATGTTCACTAAATGGGAAATACTCAACACCATCTACATTTTTTATTACATTTTCTAAAAATTTATATTTCGGTTGCTGTAGAGATTTAGAGTAGAGGTAAATATTTTCAAAACTTAGACCATTTGGATGTATTATGAGGGAAAGAAGAGCATTTGTTTTACCACAATTTGAGGGGCCACAGAAAACTGCTCGAATGCTGTCTGAAAACAGACTACCGTGACGTTTAATCTTTTTTTCATTAGTTTCAACATCTATACTAGAGATTGGCAGTGCAACAGGTTGTTTCGTGAACTACATCTTGACAGTAACTGTCCTAAAAGCTATAAATACCAAGCTTTTATATTCGTTTCATCAGTCTCACACCAACCTTTGTAGAGTGAAGAATGATTCTGCATAAGGATGTGAAAAAATGTCGCTTTCAAGGAAAAGGTTTAATTAATCGTATTATCAATAGTTTACCGTTCGAGTTACATTTGCCAGGTTACCAATTCTGTGGCCCTGGTACAAAGTTGGC